GCTCCCGCCCGAGGGTTCGGATCCCACATACAGACCGGTTCCCGCTCACTGGCTGAGCGAGGCGCGGGGGCAACACCGAGGGTTGCAATCCCGTTGCCGGTCCCCGGTCCGGTGCGGGGGCAACACTGAGGGTTGCGATCCGTTGCCGGACACGGAAAAAAAAGATAAAAGACAAAAAAAAAAAAAAAAAATGTCAATCCCTAGTTCTGTACTTTGTCATTAGCATTCAATAAAGACAGAAAAAGAAAATCATAGCTCACTATTTTTGTCTAATGAAGCCTCACTTAACATTCATTTTCTCTTATATTCTAGCACCTGGCACAGAGCCTCGGTCACATGCTAACTGAACAAAATATAGATGAATATATAAATATTATAATGAAATACCTTTTTAATTTGTTTTTCTGCAGGAAAAATAATCTGTTTCTCTAGTCTTTAATTGCTGAGTCATCTCCTTTTCATCTTTAACAGTTTTTGTGGCTTTTCTTTAATTTCCTGATGTATATCTTAAGAGAAGGCCAGAACTGGGCACAACATTATACTGAGGACATGACAAGTCAGGAACATACTAGAAGTACTGTTTCATAGTGTCAATGTTACATAAATATTAAGTCATTCCAGTGCCACACTTCAAATTTCTACCAATACAAGTAATGCTGAAACACTTATCTCTGGTGGGCCTGTTAGCTTGGTTGGTTAGAGCACAGCCTTGTAACACTTAGGTAAAGGGTTTGGATCTCCCTACCAGTCAGCTGCCAAAAAAGAAAAGGAAAGGAAAGGAAAGGAAAGGAAAGGAAAGGAAAGGAAAGGAAAGGAAAGGAAAGGAAAGGAAAGGAAAGGAAAGGAAAGGAAAGGAAAGGAAAGGAAAGGAAAGGAAAGGAAAGGAAAGGAAAGGAAAGGAAAGGAAAGGAAAGGAAAGGAAAGGAAAGGAAAGGAAAGGAAAGGAAAGGAAAGGAAAGGAAAGGAAAGGAAAGGAAAGGAAAGGAAAGGAAAGGAAAGGAAAGGAAAGGAAAGGAAAGGAAAGGAAAGGAAAGGAAAGGAAAGGAAAGGAAAGGAAAGGAAAGGAAAGGAAAGGAAAGGAAAGGAAAGGAAAGGAAAGGAAAGGAAAGGAAAGGAAAGGAAAGGAAAGGAAAGGAAAGGAAAGGAAAGGAAAGGAAAGGAAAGGAAAGGAAAGGAAAGGAAAGGAAAGGAAAGGAAAGGAAAGGAAAGGAAAGGAAAGGAAAGGAAAGGAAAGGAAAGGAAAGGAAAGGAAAAAAGAAAGAAAGAAAGAAAAGAAAAACACTTACCTCGAGAACCAACCACAGCTTATCTCCATTTATTTTATCCTTCTTAAAGTAAATCCCATAGAATTTGACAACATTAGGGTGGTCAGAAAGTGCTTTTAAGATGTTATACTCTGCTTCAATCTCTTCATCAATATCCTAGTTTCAAAAAGTCATAAGAAGAGAACTGTGAGAAAAACATGAATAATGTCAAAGGAACATATTACGGACTACCAAATATAAAATTTAATTTTGCCAAAGCAAGATCATAGTAGTTTTTATTGTGCTTAGTACTATATATTGAAATTTCTCATTACATTGTTTAAGGGGAGAGAATGTGATTTTTGTACTAATCAAATGCATCTCAAGTTATATTAATTTTATTGAATTAAAAATGGGAAAAATAAAAAGCTATTTCTGTCTGCACTTAGAAAGAAACATACATGGAGAACTACTTCAGATGATTTTGCTTTGTTTGCATTTTTAGCTTTGTTACAATGTCGAATCCACTGATTTGAAATAAAAACTTCTCAGACTAGAAAGCTGGTTCATTTTGTTCCTTTGAAGACAGGATATTTGGAAGCTATCAAAAACCAGTTATACAAGCAATAAATTCCTATTTTTCAAAAAAAGTAAAACAGAGGTAAATGATAAAAGATGGTATATGACCCGTAGTTAACTAAAGGCCCATTCACCAGAAGTAGAACAGATTGCTATTTTATCAATAAAATTGCAAGATGGTCACTTAGTAATATTGCCAGAAAATCACATATGCATGAAACAATTCATAGAGTAATACATGGGAGAAATCCTTACTAATATTGCTCTTATAAGACACGTACTGTCTACATTGTTTTACTACAGAATCATGGAATCACGGAGATAGAAAGAAATTTACACCTGAACTCTAATTTTAAATGAAGAAAATCAAGATCAAAGAAGTTAGAGTCAAAGTTGGTTAGAGCAAAATCCAGGTCTAGACTCCAAGCCTACTACATTCTAATCTTGTTCATGTAATCCTTTCCTTGGAGAGAAAATTACTAACTAAAAATACATAATAGTAAGACTCCTTAAATTAAAAAAGAGCTAATCTTTGTAAAGTGCTCAGATGCATTTAAACTTATTTGAGATTATAATTTCTTGTTTATAAATCTTTTTTATTTGACTTGTGACATGATGAATGAAGAGTAAATAAATAATTCTTAGGAAAACATACGACAGAGGGTACTTCAACAAGTTCACAGAAAGATTCATATTATCTTTTAATTCTATTTTTCCACAAACTTTTTGAAGTACCCTCATATACGTACTATGATAAGAATAAAAGCAAAAGAACAAATTAAATACTATAGTTATGAAATCAATATGTCTTGTGAAAGCAATAGTACAAACATGATTTATAAGGTTTCTAAGTATACCATACATGAAGAAGTAATGAAAATTACATGTATTATAAGCCATTTGTTCTTCTCTAACAAGAAGGAAGGGAATAGTAGAGATACATTTGTTATGGGGCCAGACAATAGGATCAGGCTAAAGCCCTTTCTCTTGCTGACATGATCCCCAACCCCTAATAGCAAAGGGTAGAAGAAAAAGAGGTATAGCCACTTGGGTTTAACTTGTCCCATCTTCCCTCCATTTAAATGATAAGAAAATTCCAATAAGCAACGTTGAAGACATTCAGCCTCATTAAGCCTAGTGCTTCTCTTTTTATTCCTCCAGTATATCTAATTTACTGCTTTAAAATAACCTTCCCTCCTTTTCTCCTCTGCTCAAAATAATATGGAGCAGTGTAGTTGTAATCGCTTTAGCAGAAATAAACAATCAAAAAAGAAAGAGCAACGCTAAGATGAACAGAGCTCTAGAGACCTTTTGTGGTTTCCTGCAGTTTGTTAGTGGATGAACTATGACAACGACCTAGGACTCTGATGGCCTAATCGCTTTAGCAGAAATAAACAATCAAAAAAGAAAGAGCAACGCTAAGATGAACAGAGCTCAAGAGACCTTTTGTGGTTTCCTGCAGTTTGTTAGTGGATGAACTATGACAACGACCTAGGACTCTGATGGCCTCCCACATACATCTCATCATTTCCATCATGCTATGCTCCCATCACGTGTGCAAGAGTCTCGTACTTGGAGCTCACTCTCAATAGAAGTTGAGGAGTATGTGATTATGGAGCTCATTCTGGCTCACCTCTTTGCTCTGGGAGAGTGAGGTATCTCCCAGTAGCCTGAAGATATTCCAAATGGCCAGCTCTCATTCCCAGAAAACAGAATCTTGGCAGTCTCCTCATGTATTTAATGACAGAGAAAAGGCTTGGTAATTTCTCTTATCACAACAGCCCTTAAAAAGCAAGGTGGTGACCCCCACTGGGGCCTCACTTAAGCAGAGACCAACAGGACTGAATATGAAATTCGATTCCTTCACAATGAGGAAACTCAACCCAATTATAAATCAACACCATTTATGCTTTAGAAACATTTAAGCAAAGCTGAAAACTAGTTTCCCTTCTCTATAATAAATTTTTTAAAAATCCTCTTCAGTTTGGCCTAAAAGAAATGCTGCCTGAAGCCTAAATAAATGCAGGAAGAAAAGGAGATCTGGTTAAGATGACATTTTAGGGTTAAGATAACTCATGAATTTGTATTGTTACAGTTTTTTGAAATCTAAAATAATATTGACTCAGCTGTTGAGAGCTGCATTTGTTTATGTGTTTATGCATGCATTCATTCATTTATCAAGTGCTTACTGTGCCTTATTATATATGTTAAGCACATAAACTAGGAAAATCAAACAAGTAGACTTATATTTTGCATATTTTTTTCAAATTGTAACTTGTTTTAGAATGACATTGTGATGGATAAATCAAGATAAGATACTTACAGAATTTTTAACTGTTTAATACAGATTTTAAAAAAGTTAATTAGGGAGAAAAAAACCAATGTGACTTACGTGAATTGGATCCAGAATTTTGACTGCTGCTTTTTGGCCATTTTTCTTATTCAATACTTTAAAAACTTTCCCATAAGTTCCTTTGCCAATCGTTTCAGTGATTTCCCAAGTATCAGAAGGATCAGGAAAGTTATCAAAGATGACTGTTTTTCCAATTAATGGAAACATCTCAAAAGATTAAATCACTGGAAAGAGAAAGCACAGTTTCATCTACATTTGATTGTAGATATTAAATGGCACACATAAACTCAGAAGAAATTATTAATATTTTCACTGATACAATAGAAAATATACAACAGTAATCAAACAGAGAGTCGTAGAAAAGTTTAATTTCAATTCTTCTTTGCAAACAGATTAATATGAGTTTAATAATGCTTTGAAAGCAGGGCTTCATTTCTATGTTTACTATAGTCCCATATTAATTGCTACTAATTCTTTTCAGATTAAAATAAGACATATATCATTTTGATTTATTTCTTTATACTCAGGTATTGCAATGAATCAAAGAATTTTAGAATGAACCATAGCGATGATAAAATTCAACTTTCTCATTTAAGCAAATCCAACACTTTATAAGTGTTTGTGTTTTATGTAACTTCTCTAACCCAATAATGAGTCCTCTCAACTGCTCTTAGGATAAAACTTCCTTAACATAACCTACCAGGTCCTTTAAAATACTGCCCTTAATTTCCTAGCCTCATTGCTCAACACCTCTTCTTTAATATACTATGATCTAGCTACTCTGGATCTGTCAGTTCATTTCTTTCTTGCTTGAGTGCCTTCATATACACTATCCCATGTACCTCTGCCTCTGGCTTCTTTGCTAAATTCTAACACCTACTTGTCTTTTAGGTCTCATCTTAGGTGTCACTTGCTCCAAATACAACCACTGTCCATCCTATTGGGTTGCATACTTCTCCTCTGTACTGCAACAGCACTCTGTACTGCTGTTATTTGACATCATTACTGTATGACCGCATGGTGCTGAAATAATTAATTAATCAATCAATTTATTGATAGAATATATTTGATGAGGTCAGATGACTTTATAAAAGAGATTTTAGATATAATTTGAGATAAGATTCCAGGTTTCTTAACTTCCAAGTAATGCTCTTAATCTTCCATGTTTTCCCTATATTACAGTCAACAATTTCTATTAAATTATTTTTAAAAGGAGGAATTAAAAAAAAAAAAAGGAAAGTGCTCTCAGCCCTTCTGGTAGCCCTCACATTTTTTCAACTATCTGTACAAAACTATACATTTTTCAGTATTAAAATTTTGATTGCAGTTGTGTTTGTATGTGTGTGCACATACATAGAAACATATCTACTAATATTTCACAATATTAGCCCATTAAATTCATTTGTCTAACCACACTTACAACTTCTAACTTCATCCACACCCCAATCCATTGATTCCCCACTTTTTTTTTATGTCCATCAACCCTCTGCAGTCTTCATTCTCTCCTCATTCTCTCCTTGCCCAGCATAGATTCTACATCTTGTATTATTGTGACATCTTTGCCAGTGTCCTCAACACTCTTGTTCCTCTCTTTCTCCCACCACATTCTCCTGGGGAGAAAACCTACATCTTTTTCACACCTGTGCCTATAGCTGGAGAAAAGCAAACAACCATGTTGACTAGTTTCTCTTTAAATTCAGGGTAACAATCCTACCTGGAGACCCCCCAACACTGCCTAGCAATCCTACAGCGCTTCCTTGGTTTGTATATTTCCCCATCTCTGGAGTTACTATCTCACAGTAATATCTCTACTCAAATTTCCATCTCCTCAAATTGTTCCCCCTTTTCTGACCATCCCTTCTCACAAAACTTCAAAATTGATTCCTTCATTTCATAATTAATTGGAAAAATAGGATCAATAATAAATTCCTTAATCTACTTACCTCAAAAACTACAAACCAATGTGCATCAAACAATATAACTTTCTTTAAAAGACCTTTCCTGACCAACATTCACAGAGTTAGCCTTCCCTGCTTATGCTGTTATTCTTCAATTAGAATGTAAGATACATGAGGGTGGGACTTTGCAAACAATATAACTTTCTTTAAAAGACCTTTCCTGACCAACATTCACAGAGTTAGCCTTCCCCGCTTATGCTGTTATTCTTCAATTAGAATGTAAGATACATGAGGGTGGGACTTTATTTTTACTACTGAATCCACAATTCCCAGAAGAATGACTAGTACATAGTAGGCAATCAGTAAATATTGGCTAAATGGGCAAACGTTCATTTGTTTATG